ACATGCTAGTAACTTGCTAATCATGCTAGCAACATGCTAGAAACATGCTAACGACATGCTAGTAACTTTGCTAATCATGTTAATGACATGCTAGTCACTTACTAGTCATGCTAGCAACATGCTAGTCACTTGCTAATCATGCTAGCAACATGCTAGTCACTTGCTAATCATGCTAGCAACATGATAACGACATGCTAGTCACTTGCTAATAATGCCAGCAACATGCTAATCACTCTGGAAACACGCTAGCAACATGCTAGTAACATGGTAATTGTGGTAACAACATGTTAATCATGTTAGTCACTTGCTAATCATGCTAGCAACATGCTAGTCACTGGCTAATCATGCTAGCAACATGCTAGTCACTGGCTAATCATGCTAACAAAACATGCTAGTTACTTGCTAATAATGACAGCAACATGCTAGCGACATGCTAATCATGCTGGAAACACGCTAGCAACATGTTAGTAAAACATGCTAATTGTGCTAGCAACATGTTAGTAACATGCTAATTGTGCTAACAACATGTTAATCATGCTAGTCACTTGCAAATTTTTTCAAACTTTCTAGCTAGGCTTTTTCAAGCCAACTTAAAGTTTGTCTACAAACTTTTTAATCTAGTTACAATTTAAAATTTTAGTATATTTTAAAGTGTAATTTATTCCTGTGATTGCAAAGCTGAATTTTAAGGAGCCATTACTTCAGTCTTCAGTGTCACACAATCCTTCAGAAATTATTAATATGCTGATATGGTGCTTAAGAAACATTTCTTATTGTCACTGTTGAAAATAGTGTGGGATGTTCTTTTGAGGATTTTTTTTATGAATAGAAAATTCCAAAAGAACAGCATTTATTTGAAATATTTTGTAATATTATAAATGTATTTTGATTAATCAATGTGCCCTTGCTGAGTAAAAGTAAACCGCAGACTTTTGAATGGTAATGTATATGTCAGTCAACTACTAATTTGAACTGTCTTACTATTCACAGGCTCCTAAAGAAGCAGTTTTTCCACCGAGCCCTTAAAGTGATGAAGAAGAAGCCTGAGAAAGATGCAAAGAAAGAGAAAGAAAAAGAGAAAGAGAAAGAAAAAGATAAGGCTAAAAGTGACAGTGGCAAAGAAGAGGAGAAAAAAAGCAAAAAGGACAAAGATAAAAAGAAGGACTCTGAGGCTGTAGACACAAAGAAGGAAAAAAATGTATGACATATTTACAGGATAAGAAAACACAAAGAAGTCCTGTTACATTTTAGGTCTTTTTGCATATTTGCATATCATGAGTCTTATTTTTAAGTCTTGTTTCTGTATGTTTAGGATGACAGTCCAGGATCTCCAAAGAAGAAGAAGGACGTGAAAAAGAAATTCAAGCTGGAACCTCACGAGGACCAACTGTTCTTGGATGGCAATGAGGTCAGGATCAGTTCAGAAAATCATATCTAACAGATGCTTGTAAATATCATACGTTTTGCTTGACAATTAGTCATACAAGTATTTGCAATGAACAGTTTAATTGTCTGCTTCATGTGGTATACAGTGTAATACACATACACTTTATCTAGTAGTATTTTTTTTCTCACATTGAACATGGAATCAAATAATCAAATGTATGATTAAATATATTTTTGATTTTGCAAACAACACTGCACAGGGGTAGCATAGTGTTATTTTGGTATTATTTATATACTATTATAATCAGGGTTTGAAATGAACTTTTTCACTCACCAGCCAATTTGGCTACTAAATTTTTAAGTTACCAGCCATTCATAATTTCTACTAGCCAAAAAAATTAAACAAATAAATTATGAAAAAAAGGCCAGAGGTAAGCCAACAGCTTGAGGCTGTCCACACTGGATGCGACAAAGTGACCATTGCAAATCATTTGTACTTTGTCAAACAGTAGGCCTACGTCATAAATAGAACGAGGCATCAGTTTACTGTCGGGGATTTGTCGTGCTGTGCTGTGCCACATCCAGTGTAGGCCGCATCACCGGAGTACTTGCTTTTTGCAGTTTCGCGTGGGCTGTAATTTAAAAACAGCGCCTAATATGAGGTCTCCCTCGCTTCGGCGATCGGCCCACCGGGAATGTCCCGGTGCTCCCGATGGCCAGTAGCTACATCGCTGGGTATGTTCAAGTAAGATAGATATGCCCAGATGCTGCGCAATTAGGCTGTGAGTTCCGAGTTCAGTATTTACACTAAATCTGTGCAGATTTGGCTTACATGAACTTCCTCAAGAAATTAATTAGTAAACATAATTTACGAAAAGTAACCCGCCAAATTGGCTAGTGATTTGACAGCGTTACCCGCCACAGCTGATTTTTACCCGCATTTGGCGGGTTGGCGGGTGTTAATTTCAAACCCTGATTATAATATTTTGAATTAGCTTTTATTTCTATATTTCAGTTTCATTTTAATTTTACTAATTAATAATTGTAATTTTTTTATGTTCTTCTGTAAATGTTATAAGCATTTAAATGTATTTTTATTTCAGTTTTATTTAACTTATTTCAGTTAGTTGCCAAGTCAACATTTCTCATTTTTGTGTAAGGTTTTTTAAGTTTGTTTTTTATTTGTAATAGTTTTAGCTTCAGTTAACAAAATCAACACTGGTAACAATTTTATTTTAATGCCTTAATATTTAATAATAATAACAATCATCATTTTATGTCATTATATATGTATTTTCTTCTTGATCTTATTATTATTATTACTGTTGTTATTTTAAAAATATATATAATTTATTATTTACACTGATGTTTTGGAACCCAGCCAACCTGAATATATATTATTATTATATTATATAATAATTATATTATGAGTGTTGTCATTGTTGTTGTGCTGATTATTCAAATAATTAATAAAAATGAAAATTCTTGTTGTGAATTCTTCACTTTCACATGTATTTTATTTATTTTTTTATTTTTTTATTGTAGTACTTAAAACGCTATATTTGTCTTCCCTACAGGTTTATTTTTGGATTTACGATCCAGTCCATTTCAAAACCTTTGCCATGGGCTTGATTCTAGGTAGGATCTCTTTTTCTCCAGTTGAGCCTGACTGTCGTTTCACTGGCTCCAGTACTGATTCAGAGCTTTGTGCGTGTTTGCAGTGATTGCCGTCATCGCAGCCACTCTGTTCCCGCTGTGGCCCGCTGAGATGAGAGTTGGTGTGTATTACCTGAGCGTGGCAGCGGGATGCTTCGTCGCAGGCATACTTCTCCTGGCCGTTGGTACGAGTTCTAGACTTATATCTTGTGTTGTACAATTTCACATTACAGTTCAATGACACTGCATTATCTGTCTTTTCTCATTTTCCCTTTGGTTCAGCTCGCTGCATCCTGTTCATGATCATCTGGTTAGTGACCGGTGGCCGTCATCACTTCTGGTTCCTACCGAACTTGACAGCCGACGTGGGCTTTATCGACTCCTTCCGTCCCCTCTACACGCACGAATACAAGGGTCCGCGCTCCAGCGCCAAGAAATCCAGCAGCGAGAAATCCGACGACAAGGGTGCAGATTCAAGCAAAGCGCAGAAATCAGATAGCGAGGACAAATCGGACAGCGAGAAGAAAGACGGCGATGAGGAAGAGGATGAAGACGACAATAAAGAAATTGAGGCGAGCGAGGAAGCAGGTGCAGAACGTCAGTCGGACACGGACAGTGACAGACGAGAGGATGAAGGGTCGCAGCACAGCAACGGCAACGACTTTGAAATGATCACCAGAGAAGAGCTGGAGCAGCATACGGAGGAGGAGGAAGAAGAAGAAGAAGATGATGAGGAAGAGCCAAGTGAGACAAAGCCCTTGACTGTTCAGACATAAACGTTTTCCTCACGCCGCACACATACTCCCATGCTCCATGTGGACCTGCTGACGTACTTCTGTCATGTTCAGAAGATGTTTCCCATTTCTGTTCAGGCTGAGATCTTCCTCTGAAAACAGACAGGCTTAAAGGTTAAACGAGAGCAGGAAACGGCTACGATGACAATGAAAATATTTGCAAAGGCTGTTGGGTTTCCCTAATAATGCTTCCCCCACTATGGATGCAACAAGTCTCCCTGACCCCATGTTTCTCTGGTTTACTTCATTTTTCTTTTTCGTTCATGTTAACTATCTAATGTAAAGGATTTTGTTGTATAAACATGTCGGTAATGTTAAGAAGGACTGGACTGGTGAACTTTCTCAATGGTTTTTAACCCACAGGTTCGCTTTCCAATCTAGTGAGAAAAAATTCAAATCTGAAAGTTTTTTTCATTTCGTTTCTTTTGTACCATTAGATACATTGGATAATTTGGACGGACCAAGATATTTTGTCTTAGATACCTAATAAGTGTTACTATCTATCATAAATCTCAATGGCACTTGACCTGTGACATTTCTGTGTGGAACTCTGGGAGATCTTGCTTGCTTTGAGACGAGAGCTGTGTTTTTGTGCGCTTGTGACACGATCTGCCTCACGTTTTGTCACCCTGATGAGAAATAGACCTTGTTAACGCAAACAGAGAAGTTAATAAATCAGAACGGTATCTTTGATTGAGGTAGGCAGTTATTTAAAACCAAACTCCATTTGAGTCTCATGAGGTCGACTGCATTCAGAAGGGGAAACTACATCCACATTTGTGCCAAATGATGCGGGATGTTGATGCTTTTTTCATATGCATTCAGTTTATGACCAACTTCCAGTTAAATAGATTTCAAACATGTCATGCAGTAACTCACATCCATGCATCATAGTCTCTGGTTCTGGTTATCCCATCTGTTGTTCAAACTCTGAGGTTGACAAATCGTACTTCCCCGAGGGGCTGTGGTCCAAAATAGCCTGTTAGTAGTTAGTTTGTGTTTTAATAGAGCCGAGGTCCAATACTATCCTTCCGTGGGGTTGCATACTTTTGGCTAGAGTATTATTTTACATTAGCTGTTTCTTTGACTCATACTGAGGATACTATTTAAGAGATGAAATACAAATGTATCATTTATATATGGATTCTATAAATCTACCAGAGATGTTCATGCCAGCAGTTAAAGTTCAGCATGAACTGTACTCAATTTTATAATGTCAGACATGCAGGTTTTTCGTTTGACTGCATTTTGTACAAATACTAAAGCCACCAATAAATGTTTTCAGTGCTGATGATGTTGGAAAGATTGTTTCTGGACAATTTATTGGAGTTAGAATGCAGAAAACATCTGAATTCTGTTCATCTGCAGTGCTTTGATTTCTAGTGGGTATCAAACGCACACAAGAGGCTGCAAAGGTGTTTTTCTCTATTAAAAAACTGATAAACCTTGTTAAAGCATCGCTCACAATTCATGGTCATCTCAAGGAGCAGGGAAACCCCTCGTGCCCAAGTGAACGTCTCACTTTCTTCTTAAAATGCTATGAATCTTTAACCATGTCTGTAAGTAGATGATCTTGCTGGTCACACTTAGTGTTCTTGTAGAAATGCTATGTATGTCTTCAATATTCTTTGTCTTTGAAGACCTGGATAGGCTGGACATGACACCATGTGTGTAGACATTTGTATTTTCTTTCTATTGAACTTCACTCACCTTTGTTTTCTGTCCCATTGTCTTTATGAGAGATAAAGATGCTGATATGCCAGATGATTTTTTTTTTTTTTGGCAGGAAATTTTATTTGCCTTTGGCTGTCTGTCATAAAATGTAGTGACATCATTTCTAAAAACAAACTGAGATCCCATTATCTTTTTTTTATATGGTGAGCATCTACAGCTAACTAATTGTCCGTATTTGGATCAATGTTGAGGACTGTCTTTTTGCAATATCTGGAGAACAATTTGAGTGTCTGTAAGAAATTATATCTGTATCCTTTTATTGCAATAAAAATATAGAACACAAGCATTTCGCATTGTTTTGTTGAAAAACATCACAAAATTGGTGCTTTGTTTTTTTATAAAATATTTCACACAAGCAAATATATTTAATTAGTTTTTTTTATATAATTAATATAAATATATTTTATTCCATTGTACTACAAACATTACAGATTGTCGCCTTAAATATAACAGGATATAAAGCCTTAAACTACATAAAGATACATTTCAAATGACAAAAAAAAAAAGATAACATCCAAGATAAAAAAGAAATTTTTATTGAAATATTACAAATGAGACAAACACGTCATAGGATCTTATTTACATCAAACTGTAAACAGCTTACATACATTCAGCTATACTAGTTCTTATGCAAGGACATATGACCTTGCAGTGCCAGTAATAACTTCATAAGAAAAGCAAATCATACAGTGCATCTGTAAATGAATAGATCACAGCTTAGAGTCTATTAAATATTAAACTAAAAGGACAATGGCTTTAGAAATGTGGTTTTGAAAATGCTAAATCCTGTGCCGCCACAGGGAGGCTACAATGTTCTTTCACAAGAACTAGTTGGGTTTGACAGGCGTCCAACTAGACAAAAGCATTAGTTATTTGATTCATGTTCAGAAAGGCTCTGCACAGGTTAGTCAGTTTGAATGAAAATTAAACAGCTTGAGCGAGCTACAGAAAAAAAGTTTAATAAACCACATTCAATCTTAGTAGTTGAATGTACAATGGTGTCTAGCAGAGCACACAAAAGTGACTGCCAATAAACTGGCTTCCAATGCAGTTTATTACAAATGAGGAACTATTGTCATGACAAACCACATAGAAAGTCAAACTTTGTCTGTTTGTAGATGAGGAAAGTTTGTGGTAAATTTAGCCAAAAGCTACACATTGCAAAAAAAAAAAAAAATAATAATAATAAAACATCAAAATTAAAGTTTTATGCTCAGTGAATGAATTACATTTCCTGCTATAATGTGCATTTCAAGTTTAAACGTGGTGGAGGATTTGTAATTTCTGTTTCCTAAACTATTTAGAAGTGGATTAATCTACATAATATACAGTACAAATTTAAATGTTAATGGTTTTGTTAATAATAAATCTTAATAAATGGTGCGTTAAAAAAAACAAAATATTCTATAATAAATCAAATCAGTTATTTAGCATATTGTGAAGTGGTCAGCTGCAAAAACACTCCTCTAAGAAATACTATCTGCATCATGATGTTTAGCAGTCCCAATGACATTTTAGGTTAACCAAACTTTTTGTTGCCGCTAACCTCTAACACTAAATGTGTTATTTCTCAAGTAGCACATAAGCACTTACTGCAGTCTATGATGAAACCTATAAACCTTTGAACAGAAATGTGCAATGTAATGTAAAAATAACAATTTTGAACTAACCTTTTCAGTGAGTCAGGATGGAAATCTGAAAGGTTTTGGAATGTAAAGTTAACAGACAGTGAGAGTGCTTGTGTGAGTGTTGTGGTGATGTTTCAGTTCTCCGTTTCTGAAGAGTCGCTGGCATCTGTTAGACGTGTTTGCTTCTTGCGGATGTTCCAGTGGAGACACTGAGCCAGACTGTCAAACCAGTCGTACACCAGATCATGACAACAGATAGAAGGGACCGGAAAGCAAGAGGTTGTGATCTTAATGCTATAATGGAAACAAACAAACAAACAAACTCATTTCACATTTCATGATTAATAGATACGACATGTGCAGTTGAGAGTGTTGCTTGAGATAAAAGCGCAAACTGAATTTGAACTGAAAGGTTGAGTGCTGATCCCAACTGACACTGTTGATGCTCATTTCCATAACTGTAATGCAGCTGTTGTTGTATTATGGGAGAGGTCAAAGCTGTTTGCTTATGGGATTGTGTAAAAAAAAAAAAAAAAACACACTTCAACTTATATGAATTTTTCATAATCATGTAATGCTTACTGCTGTATATGGTGACGGAGCCACACTGCAGAGGACATTTTGTTAGATTTTGTTTGCATTCTTCAGATGAACTGTATTTGTATTTGCACTGGTAACATCTCAGTGCGAGCACTGAAATATAAAGAGAATGCCATATAAAACACATGAAATACATTCATTTCACGTATCAGTTAACTTCAATTACAATTTTAAATAAAATAACAAAATTACATACTATTAAAGTTCACAAGTTTTGTTCATACATATAGAATGACAACAGCAGCAGCAACAACAATGTATATATAAGCATCATGAAATGTTGAATGGTAAACATAACTAGATAAACAACGAAATCATAGCATACCTGTGGAGAAAGAAACGGTGATGAGAACCAGAGTGATGAACAGTTTCATGGCTGGAAGATCCGAAGAAAACCAAATAACAGGGTAAAATCAGTATGTGTTTGATTTCCAGAGGTGTACTGTAGTTTTTGAATTATATCTGTTCCAAATTGTAGCTAAGTAGGCAGCAGCATAATTATGCTGAAATCTAAGGCAAATCTAAGATTTTGTATTCAGTATTTTTGCAATTCAAATTAGACACATTTGGAAGAAAAGGAAGAAAGACAGAATATTCAAATGGATGTATTTACTGGAACTGGTCATGTCAGGTTATCATTACTCCAACATCAGAACATCAGCAAAGACACCCTAGCGTCTCTAGTTTGATTGCTGCATTTGAACTTTTATGCACATTCAGCTTTGAGTTGAGATG